AGTGATTTCAAGGTTCAACTACTGTAGCATGTATCACTTCATTCTTTTTTGTGGGCAAATAATATTTTATTGAATGGACGTACCACCTTTTGTTTATTCATTAGTTAATGGACATTTGAGTGGTTTTATACTTTTTGACTCTTATGAATAATGGTGTTCTAAACATTCATGTGTAATTTTTCTGTGAACGTAAAATGTTTTTAGTTCTTTTGAGCATCCACCTAAGGAGTAGAACTGATGGATCATGGCTACACAACTCTGTGAATATAATAAAACCACTGAGTTGTATAATTTTTAAAAAATATTTTTTTGTAGTTGTTGATGGACCTTTAGTTTATTCATTTATTTATATGCGGTGCTGAGAATCCAACCCAGTGCCTCATACATGTGAGGCAAGTGCTCTACCACTGAGCCACAACCCCAGCCCGAGTTGTATAATTTAAAAGGGAATTATGACATATTATTATTTTTTGCTTTGTAAAAACTCTAAACATCTCATCAGTTTCTCACAACATTTATTTATTGTAGCTGTTTACATGTTCATGGCTATGACCCTGCATTATGTATCATCTTATCCTAGGACCCAGACTGAGGAAGCAGTCTATTGAATATGCCTAGTTTAATGGCAGGGGAAGAGTGATGGGCTGGGTTGAATTTCACAATCTGATTTGAAGCTTCTGCTCTAATGCTGTGATATCTTGTCTGTTCACATTACATTGACCAGAGCAAGTCCCTGGAAAAAGGTCAAAGTCAAAGAATGAGGCAGAGGTATTTACTTCTCCCTTTTAGAGACAGGCGGGTCATGTGGTGATGAATATGTTTGTATAAAGAGTGGAGGATGAATGATTGTACATGTGGATATTGATTAAGGAGAAAAAAGGGCAAGGAGGTCTTTATAGACTCCTCTGAGAAGATGGCCAGTAGAGTGGAATGCATATGGAGTTGATAGTAACCTGAGGGGCAATCCAAGGAGACAGTGAGTTTATAGTTCCACTAATCAGCATAGTCATCCTTAGTTGTTCGATAGTCACCTGAGAAAGTGAATGAATGGATTGGTTTCAATTTGGGATTTTAATGGAAAGGTATGGTTAAAGAGTGAGGTAGAAGTTGTAGCTATAGGAAAGTGAACAGATGAGCTATATGGTCTAGTCTGAGTAGGGACAGAAATAAGGTACAAGAAGGAGCTTATACTTAGGAGGCATATGAGTGGGGGTGTGAGTCTCTAATGGAATATGGAGAATTAGAGTAGAGACTAGTCTAAAATGAGATATTGGAGTTTAGGATTGCAGTTTCAGGTGTTGACAAAGGCTAAGATATGTTATTTTTAACTGAAGGTAATAGGAAGTACAAGTCCTGGAGTTGAAGAATTGGGTATTGGCTTAGGTCTCCCACAAGGCAACATCCAAGATGACCCTTATTCTCTACTGAACGCAATGACCAATGCCCATTTTACTCACGATTGTGTTTCCATTGTTTTGCCTGTGTATGTGGTCATGCAATAGATTTTTATTTATTGTGTGATTGTATGGAGGAAAGTGGAACTTGGCGTTGAGAGGAGGACTGTGATGCTTATGTTTGATTGAGATGGACCTAGTAGGTCCATCTCAAAAAATGGGAATGATGCAGCAAGTGGCCCTTTCACATGGCTGGCAGTTGCTGCTGGCTTTTGGCTGAGAGCCCAGCTGGGGCTGTTGACCTCCATCCTCTCAAATGACTTCTCCACGTGTCTTAGACTTCTTAAAACATGGAGAAAAGTATGTACCAAGAAATAGGCAATGGATGTTGCCATGTTCTTTAGGCAAGGGCGTAGGAATTGACACTCTGTCCTGTCCCTGTTTGCTAGTGCAGTTAGTCTCTGTTGTGGGTGAGGGGAGATAGAACCTAACTCTTGTGTCAGCGAGTTTGTGACACCCTTAATCCACCATACTTGGCTCCTAAAGTTTGATGGTAGCAAAAGTCCAGGGGTCTTGGTGTGGCTCAAAGCTTCAGGAAATTAAACTCATCATTAAGTTGTCCAACACCTTGGTCTTATTGAATTTTATTCTCTAGTTTATGTCTTCTCCATTTTGTATCATTTTTTGTTTGTTTTTTATGTACTGGGGTCTGAGCCCAGGGGTGCTCTATCAGTGAGCTCCATCTTCAGCCTTTTTATTTTATTTTGAGACAGGGTCTGGCTAAGTTGCTCAGGCTGGCCTGGAACTTGTGACCCTCCTCCCTTGGCCTCTGGAGTAGCTGGGATGACAGGTGTGCTCTAACATTCCAGGCTCTTGAATCAACTTTTTAAAAACTCTGCCTTACAGTGTAGTTTAATTGTAAAACTGCAAAGGATCCCCTGAGTTAGAAGCTCCCGGGTGGGTGCAACCTTATGACAGGTTTGGGGTGTGCTTTCCAGCTCACAGGCATGTTTCTTGATTCTAATGAAACTTAAGTAATTTCAGCAGCTTCTCCATGTTGGCAACATGCCTGTGAACTTTTCCTAGACAAATATTTGTGGGCAGAAATTTTTAAAATATTGATAGCAAAGATGTCAAAATGTTAATAGTAGTGGGTGATTTATTAGGCTTTTACATTTTTAAAAATTGTGCTTCATGAACATGTATTGATTGAAGCATTTATAAATACACAAATTTTAAATTTTAAAGGTCTATGTAAGTTCTAGTAAATAAACAGAATGATAAAAGTTGTATCAATACCTTTGAGGAGCCAGGATGTGATGTGTGTGTGCTAGGCATCACACCTGGGGCCTCTTGCATACTAGGTAAACTAGTATCAATACCTTTTTTTCCCCTAAATTTTAGTTGTAGATGGATACAATACTTTTATTTTGTTTTCTTATTCTTTTATGTGGTGCTGAGGATCGAACCCAGGGCCTCACATGTGCTAGGTGAGCACTCTACCATCAAGCCACAGCCCCAGCCCCCTCAGTATACTTTTAAAAAAATTTTTTTTCTTTTTTATTTGTTGATAGACCTTTATTTTATTTATTTATACACAATGCTGAGAATCGAACTCAGTGCCTCACACATGCCAGGCAAGTATGCTACCACTGAGCCACAGCCTCAGCCCCAAGTATCAATACTTTTGATTAAAAATTCCAACTTGACTCTAGATATCCCATGATTAACAGTATTTCTCATTCAGGTCTGACCTTAAGACTTATCTGGGGTATTAGTTAAAAATTCAGCTTATCAGGCCATTCATCTGGAGATTCTTGGTTAACTACGAGTAGGATCCTGTGTCTCCATTTCTAATAGGTAACCTTAGGTTCAGGTAGATTTGGAAACAGGATGGAATAATGTTTAGTTATAATTGTTTTTTTTTTCATAGAACCAAGTTGCATGTAAATAAATTGTACATTTGTTGAAATAACAACATGATGATGTCTGTATCTAAAAGGTGGAGATAGTTATCTAACTTAACAGGTTTGTTTGATGCTTAAATAGATGTGAAAGCACTTGAATGTGAAAGAACTGTGTTAGTTGTTAAGGTGCTGCTGAGCTTGACTCCCTGGTACGAAGTGTGAGGTTTTAAACATACAAGACCATGCCCAAGAGGGCACACAAACAGGTTTTCTAATCAGGTGGTAAGTTTTACTGATATGTTCACATTTTGTTTTCCTGACTGATCAACCTTTTAAAAATATGACTTTTTGTTTCCTAGAAAATGGTGTCTTTCAAAGGAAAACAAATTACAGTTTAACTTTTTTCTATTGGTTTTAAAATTCCAAATTTGTAGTTCTTTATGAAATAGTATACAGAATTTCTTGGCATTTTAAAAACCACCATTGTCAGACCCTGTTTTCAGAGATTTTGATTTCACTGGTCTGTGTGGGGCTCTGTGAGTGTTTATTACACCTTCAGGGCTGAGAACCCCTTGACAGTTCTCGAGAAAAGTGATTAAAGGTATTGGCAAACCTGAAATTTTATAGACCTTTTGATATAAGAACAGTAATTTATAATTAAATAGTGAGAGAAAGCAAAGCTACGTGGTAATGAGTTTGGAAGTAGTCTAGTTCAGTGTTTCACCCTGACTTCATACACACGTTCGTCAGTACCCAGACCTCCATTGTAGTGAATTTTAGATGATTGTTTTGAAAAGAAATAATGGTAAAGAACATACTTTTTGTAACATGGGGCTTTTTTAAAGCTCTACCCTATAATCTTAAGAAGGAGGACCATACTTGATCCTCCATTCTAGCTGTGTGATATAGTGAAACTGAGATAATGTAAAAATGAAACTGAGCCATGAATATTAGCATGATTTCTTATTTTTTAGTTTAAAACACCATGCAAGTAGCTAGAGTTGAGGGTTCATTTAAAAGTGTTTAAAGATCGTTTTTTCCCTTTCCACCAGAAATTTGGGACATTTTAATTTGAATTCATGATAAGCAAACATTTTTTGGATGAAATGGATTTTATTCTAGGTTTGTATGCATAGTCCATGAAGAAAAAAATAGATATTGTCTGTGTCATCTGAGGGGAGAATTTTAATACATGAAGAGAGTTCCTGATTAGAAAACTGTTTTCCATTTTGTAGTATAATCTAAACTAAAGGTTATAAAGTTTTATTTAAAATAATGGTAACTTGCCAGGCACAGTGGTACACACCTATGACTCAGGAGGCAGAGGCAGGAAGATTACAAATTTGAGGCCAGCCTCAGCAAATTAGTGAGGCCCTAAGCAACTTAGTAAGAGCCTGCCTCAAAATTAAAAAAAAGAAAAAAAAATTAAAGCAATGTAGGTTAGTGGTAAAGCACCCCTGAGTTAAATTCTCAGTACCAAATAAATAAATAAATAATAGGACCCTAAATAAGGGGGAAATCAATTTTCTAGAAAAAAAATAAATCTTCAAGTTCACTTAGCAACTTAGATTTGCAGGGTTTTTTTTGTTGTTGTTATTGTAAAACAGAACAGTAAGTTATCATATTACTCAGTGAATTCCTTGTTAGTTACCAATTGAAATACTCACATAGGACTCTTATTTCTGTCTTGCTCTGTTAGGTGTAAAGATTTCTCTCTGTGTTACTGGAATCCCTATTGGATGCTGCCCTCTGATGTTTGTGGAATGAACTGCTTTTGGGAAGCGACTTTTAGGTAGGCACTTAATATTTAATTGATAGATCAGTGTAGGTAAGATTAGATAGTAAATACTAAAACCTCACACTGTAATAGAACATGAAAGTGTTTCTTTTCCTGTAACTTAATATCATACAAGTAAATAATTCATTTCTTATTGGATTTTCTATTCCCTTTTCTTATTTATGGTTATCACTAACTTTTAGTACATTCTGTATAGAAATAGTCTAAATATTTTTAGATGTTATTAAGGTAAATCCTTATTTTTAGGAGAATTTGTGATCTAACCTTTGATAACAGGTGATAAACAGGTGTGTGTGTCTATATATATATATATACACACATACACATGGTATGCACATTTATTGCAGTTACCTAATTTAAAGCTGGTGTATTGAAAAAACATGGGTGGATGGGACGATTGGGAAGGATTATATTAATTTTTAGCAGAGAGATTGAATATAGGGGAATGTGATGATAAAGACAAATTTACTGAAGGAGTAAATAATATGACATCATTTATTGCCCTTTGAAATTATTGCAGAATTTGACTTTGTTAACTTTTGTATAAAGAAGGTACTGGATTGGCTGACCTCTTGGATCCATTCCTGTTCTAATCTTCAATGAGAGAAACAAGTATTGATAGGAATAGGAATGGAATAAGGCAGTAGCTTTCAGACTATTTCCCTGAAAATGCCCTTCCAGAGAGTAAATTTCTTTTGAGAGTCATCTTCTATTATTATTATTATTATTATTATTATTATTATTTGTATTGGGGATTGAACTTAAGGGCACTTAACCACTGAACCACATCCTCAGCCCTTTTTTGTATTTTATTTAGAGACAGGGTCTCAACCAGTTGCTTAGGGCCTCGATACATTGCTAAGGCTGGCTTTGAGCTTGAGATCCTTCTATCTCAGCCTCCCAAGCCCCTGGAATTATAGGCATGCACCACCACCATGCCTGGCTATTGTATTTTTATTATTAATTTAAACTTCAATTCTACTCATTCTGTTTATCAGACTCCATTGTTGGTACTAATGACTGCTCCTGAGTAAGGTTAATGTGGGTCCATTCTTTTGGAGCTTTCATTCTAGTGTATACAGTAGTGAACCTGAAATTACATTAGAGGGAGATAATTTATAGCTGTGATGAGTCACAAGACATCAGGGAAGGTTTTCTATAGTGGGAGACCAGTTGATGAACAGAAAATTAGCCTGGTTCAAGGATGGGGGAGGTAAAGCTTTCTAGGTAGGAAGAGTTGCATTTAAAATTTTAAGCTTTTGGGCTGGGGATGTGGCTCAAGCAGTAGCGTGCTGTCCTGGCATGCATGCGGCCTGGGTTCGATCCTTAGCATCACATACAAACAAAGATGTTGTGTCTGCCGAAAACTAAAAAATAAATATTAAGAAATTCTCTCTCTCTCTCTCTCTTTCTCTCTCTCTCTCTCTCTTTAAAAAAAAATTTAAGCTTTTATCTAAACTGACAATGATTGTTTCCATTTAAAGATTTAAAGGGTACAATGTGATGTTCTGATCTGTGCATAGGGTGTGGAATGATTATATCAAGCTAATCAACATCTGTCACCTCACATTTATCATTATTTTTATAGTGCGAACATGTAAAATCTTTTAGCAATTTTGAAATAATAAATTACTAGTAGCTGTGGTCACTTTGCAGTGCAATTAATCTTGAAACTTTTTAATCCTCTCTGGCTGGAACTTTGTACCTTTTGATTAGCATTCCTTTCCTCCCATCTTTGCTAAACTTCAAGCCTTTGCCAATTTATTTTGCCCATTGCCAGGAAACTTATAAGAGTACCCACCTACTGGCTTTCTTTATTTTAAAAAAACAAACAACAATAGCAAAACTGGGTATGGTTGTGCATGCATGTAATCCCTGCTACTCAAGAGGCTGATGCAGGAGGATCAAAAGTTTGAGACCAGCCCAGGCAACTTCGTGAGACCCTATCTCATAATAAAACATAAAAAGGACTGGGGATGTGGCTCAGTGGTAGAGCACCCCTGGGTTCATTCTCTAGAAACAAAAAAAAAAAAAAAAGAAAAAGAAAGAAAGAAAAAAGAATTAACTTCCTATCTAGCTATTCATGAACGTAGGCAACTGATGTCTCCACTTCAAGTTCCTCTCAGGGACCAGTATTTTAAGCTGCATGGTGGTAATTTTCACTTTTCAGGTTCGGATGTCTCAGAGACTCATTTTCAAACTTGAATTCGTGGCCTAGCTTCTCAGATCTTCCTTTTCTGTGTTTTAGATTATGGTTTGTGACTGGTTTTGTCCACACGTAAGCACTCATTGGTTCTTCTTGTGTGTCTGCTTTCATGCCACTGCTTCTGGCTACCTCTGCCCTCCTGCTCCCTAGCTGTTGTGCTGTCCTGCTCATTGCTTGGTGCCACACTGTGTCATCTTCCTTCATTGCGGACTGTACTTCCCTTTCCCACATCTCCTGAGCTCTTACACTTTATCTATTGTAATTATGAATCTTTATCCATTTCTGCCCTTGGCCGAGTGATAGCACGTGGTGTTAACCCCATGCCTAGAAAGGTGTTGGGTGACCAGTGAATACCATGATCAAGAGGATCGTTGGTATGGGACAGTTTCTCCAACACTTTGAGACTGGTTCAAGTGTTTGTGTAGTAAACCTCCTTAGTAGTCCTGGGTGTTTTCTACTTAAGCAATTCCCATGCTTTTTAAAAATTTAATTTAAATTTTAAAAAAATGGTACTGGGAATTAAACCCAGAGATGCTTAACCACTGAGCTACATTCCCAGTCCTTTTAATTTTTTGAGACAGGGTCTCACTAAGTTGTTTAAGATTTTGCTAAGTTGCTGAGGCTGACCTCAAACCTGTGATCCTCTTGCCTAAGCCTTCTGAGTCACTGGGATTACATGTATGTGCTACAACATCCACCAAGATTAAATATTTTAAAAGAACTAATTATTTTTAAAAAAGTTCAAGTCATAAAAAAACTAATATATTGAAACTGATAAGAGTCTGTTGTAATGAAAAGGTAAAAAAACTAACTAGAAAATACAAAACATAAGAGTTAAAAAGTTTGTTAAAAAGAATGAAAGAGAACACACTAAGTATGTTATAAAAAATTTCATGGATACAAGTCAGCACCAGCATTATTTGTGTACTGTGGTCATCATAACCTTTGCATTATTGGATGTCATAATTTTGCCACTTATTAGAATAAAGTGTTAGCTTATTATTTGGATTTAGTTCATTATTGCTTGATGGTATTTCCATACTTGTTTAGCTTTTAAAAATATTTTGTTATATATATTGTCTGTATTACTGAGTTTTAATGAACTCTTAGAACAATATTATTCTGCTTTAGCCATTGATAACGAATATTTTCTTTACACTATTTAATCTTTCTCGAGTATAATGGGAATTGATTTTTGGATTCATGGGGTCTATGGTCAAAGGTGGGATATTTTAAACCACTATTTAAAATTTTATTTTAGAAGTTAATGCTTATTTTTATTGCATGTTAGATTTTAAGATTTTCTTTTCATGATTTTTGTATAAAAATCACAAAGAATTTTGGTAAGTATTTTGTTTCAAAAGTGATTTATATTCAACTCCTTAGTTTACCTTGTATGATAATTCAAAAGAACCCACCCCCACCCCCTCCTTTTTCTCCCTTTTTGTGGTGCTGGGAATTGAACCTAGGGCCTCATGCATGCTTAGGCAAGCACGCTACCATTCCTAGCCACAGTTCATGAGCTACATCCCTAGCCACAATCCTTTTTTTTTTTTTTTAATATTAGTTGTTGATGGACCTTTATTTATTCATATGTGCTGCTGAGACTCAGATCCCGTGCCTCACACATGCTAGGCAAGCTATCATTGAGCCACAACCCCAGCCTCAGAAGTCCTTTTTTTTTTAAAAAAAAAAAAAAATTATTTGTTTTAATTAGTTATACATGACATATGTATGCATACAGTAATAATGTCTGTTTCATTCTACTATCTTTCCTCCCCCCATATCCCCTCCCCTCCACTCCCATCACTTCCCTCTACCTAATCCTAATCTAAGGTAATGCTATTCTTCCCTAGTTGGTGAGGATGTGGTGAAAAAGGTACCCTCATACATTGCCAGTGGGACTGCAAATTGGTGCAACCACTATGGAAAGCAGTATGGAGATTCCTCAGAAAACTGGCAATGGAACCACCTTTTGACCCAGCTATCCCACTCGTTGGTTTATACCCAAAGGACTTAAAATCAGCATACTATAGTGATGCAGCCACATCAATGTTTATAGCAGCTCAATTTACAAGTCTTTTTTTAATAGGAATTTTTTTAAAAGTTAGACCTTAAGGATATTATTGTTAGTGTTTCAAAATCTGGTTTTCTTTTCTTTTTTTCTATGTTATAATTTTTTTAAAAAAATTGTTCTTTTTTGTACATGATAGTAGAATGTATTTTGACATATCATACATACATGAAGTATAACTTCCCATTCTTGTGGTTGTTCATGATGTGAAGTTACAATGGTCATGTATTCGTATGTACACATAGGAAAGTTATGTCCAATTCATTCTTCTGTTGAAAATATGGTTTTCCATTTGTTCAATCACAAGTGTTTAAAGATACATGCAGGTATTTTTTAGTTTGGGGAGATTATTATTAGAAATTTTATTTTGTTATTTGACTTTATATACTTCATTTTAATGCTATTTCCTATTCTAAATATTATACATCATTTATTTATAGAGAGCATACTAACTTAACAGGCTACAAGAAAACACTGGAAGCCATCCATGTTGCCTGAATAAAAATTGAGAAGAAAAGTTGTTATAATTCCGCTAGTAGAAATTTTCATAAACTTAGAAGGCAATTTCTAAGGGTTTGAAATCTGTTAACAGTATTTGTATTAGAATTTGTCATTCAAAACATTCTTTAAGTACTAACTTTTTTGTGTGCTCCCCCTCTCCTACTTTTTGTTCTTAGAAGTCTCCAGTCCACAAAGTTTCAAGAATAGTGCAGTGAATACATCATGCATCCTTACTTAGTTGTTCATTTCTTAGTCACATTTTGACATTTTCTTTGGCTAGACCAGTTGAGGGAACTGTAGCCATATGGCCTACTCCTAAATACATGTAGTTAGCATTTATCTTCTAAGAACAGGGGCATTTTCCAATATAACCATAATAAAATTGTCACTTCACATTATTTAATACTGATAGAACATATATTTCTTTTGTCTTTTCTCTTTTTTTGGGGGGGGGAGGGTGGTACCAGGGATTGAACTCAGGGGCACTTGACCACTGAGCCACATGCCCAGCCCTATTTTGTTTAGAGACAGGATCTTACTGAGTTGCCTAGTGCTTTGCTTTTGCTGAGGCTGGTTTTGAACTCACGATCCTCCTGCCTCTGTCTCCCGAGCTGCTAGAATTACAGGCATGCGCCACCAGGCCCGTAGTTGTCTTTATAGGTTTTCCTTCCCATTTAGTACCCTGTCAAGGATCATACATTGCACTCGGCTATTAGATCTACTTGGTATTCTTTATCCTAGAACTAATCTCTGGCCTTTTGGGGGGTGTGGTAGTGGTAATGGTGTCTTTTGTGATATGACATTTTTGTTGTGTTTTGCAGAATGGCCCTTAATTTGTATTTGCCTGTCTCCTCATGGTTAGATTTAGGATTGGGGACCAGTTTACTGCATAGGAGATAGTCTTCTTTGATCATACTGTCAGAAGACAGCTGATGTCATGAGCTTAACATTTATTGGCTACATCTGATCACATGGTTGCAATTATATTCTCCCATTTCTATACTGTAGCAGTATCTTTATCCTCTTTGTAATAAGTGAGAAAATACTTTGTTGCTTGTGGCTATAGCTCAGCGGTACAGTGCTTGCTTAGCACGTGTGAGGCCCTGGGTTCGATCCTCAGCACCACATACAAATGAATAAATAGAATGAAGGTATTTTTTAAAAAAGATGATTGCAAGATAGTGATTATATAATTATGTCATTCTTTCTGCTTTTATCATTTGGTATTTATCTTTTTTTTATTTTTTTTTGTACTGGGTTAAACGTAGGAGCACTTGACCACTGAGCCACATGCCTAGCCCTATTTTGTATTTCATTTAGAGACGGGGTCTCACTGAGTTGCTTAACACCTTGCTTTTGCTGAGGCTGGCTTTGAACTTGTGACCCTCCTGCCTCTGCCTTCCCAGCCACTGGGATTACAGGCAGGTGCCACCGTACCCAGCTAGTATTCATCTTTAAAACAGAAGGTTCCCTCCCCTCGCTCCTTTATTTAATATTATTTGGAGTCATGGCTTCGTTTTTTACATCTGATATGTTGCTCATTACTGTCACACTTTTGGTGCTCAGGTTATGCCACATTTAACCATGGGAACCCCTGGTATTATCTTTGAGTTATCCAAAGAATTTCTTCAAATTAAATAGAAAAATAGGTTTGATTTTTAAATTTTTTTTGGATAACATTTCTTTAAACCCATAAGGATATTAATTCATACTATGGTTAAAATTAGCCTATTCTTGAATAGAGTTGACCATTCTGTTGGTAGACCATTCTTCCAGAATGAATGGCTGCTTCCCATGACTGTTAAGATAAGTTTTAGTTATCACTTCCTTAGTGTAGAAGCTTAGATTGCTTTTTTCCAACCCCCTGGGGGTTGAACCCAGGGGTGCCCTACCTCTGAGTACTCCCCATCTCTCTTTTTTTTTTTCATTTTTTTTATTGGTTGTTCACAACATTACAAAGCTCTTGACATATCATATTTCATACATTAGATTGAAGTGGGTTATGAACTCCCAATTTTACCCCAAATGCAGATTGCAGAATCACGTCGGTTACACATCCACATCCCTATCTCTTTTTATTTTTTATTTTGAGATAGGGTCTTGCTAAGTTGCTGAGTCTGGCCTCTGACTTGAAATTCTCTTGCCTCATCCCAAGTCGCTGGATTGCATGTGTGCGCCACTGTGTATGGTTTATTTTATATTTCTTCAAGTTACAATTGAGTTTCCTCTTCTTGGGGTGTGGGTAAAGACATTTTTAAAATATGTTTCATTTTGTCAGTGTAGGTGTTGGAGTCTGTGCTATCATTTATTGCTTTTACTGAAAAGGAACACCTAAAGAAAGAAAAAATGAAATGAGGTTGACAGTATCCCTGCAGAGATTGGTAGAGAGAGTGCTCGCAGTGTGACCAAAACAGCTCTTGCTAAAAGGCCTGGGAGGAGTCGTCCCTGGGACTGAGATGGGGGGAGTTTTTCCTCTGGAGGAAAGTTTATTATACCTATTTCCATATGTGGAGAATTTTGTGCACAACATAGGACCATTATAGTTTATGTCTAAAATCTTTTCTTAGTTTTTGATTTGCGGGTTAGATCTTGTTGTGGCCAGTTAAGCAATCTGATATAGTAATGAAGATTCTCAGATCATGATGTTTTACCACCAGAGTTGGAGGCAGTTACTAAGGAAGATGAGATGGCAGAGTTCTGTACAATTGTTGTGTTTTGATTTCCTTATCTTCAATTTTCTCTTTGGCTTCCACTTCTTTGAGAGGAACTGGGTTCATGTCCCCTGTCATAAATACAGGTTCCATGTTAGGAACTGGTGGGCTCAACAGAAAGAAGGGAAGGGACAGAGGGTACAGACAAAGGAAGGGAAGGGGTCCCACTTGTTTTTAACACTGTTAGTGGGAATGGATGGAGGGCACTAAGCAAGACCCAGCCATATCCACACCAGCAGAGTGAGAGAAGTGGCACAGCAGAATCAAGGAGGTTTCGGGTCACTTAAGCCTGGAGTCTGTGCTACTCTGTGTTGGAAGGGGTTGTGGCAGTGTTGGCCATGATGTACTCAGGACATCTCTCCTTTCACAAAGACACATTAGTGCTGGTATGTTTTAGGTCTTCTTAGAAGTGTTTGCGTCTTGCTGATTATTTGGTCAATGGAACCGAATGTGTGACATTTAAAAATAGTATGTAAAGGAAATTTCTTGTTATTGGCCATGGTTTAAGGCTAGATGTAATACCGAAATATTTATGGATGAAATTATGGCTGATTTGCTTCACAGGGGTCTGCTGTTTAGTGGAAGTTGGTGTGAGAAGGGTTTAGATGAAATAAGAATGTTTTAAGTTTTTTTTTTTTTTCTTCCACAGGCTCCTTGAGAGAATTAAGCCCTCAGGCCCTAAGGTATCCAGAATGAGTAATGAATTAACTTATATCCTACATGGCAGTGACAGTGATGCTGTCATGTATTTTTGGGAGAAGTGAGAAAGTATTAATTTTTTGTGTTCAGTGATTCCTAGTGAGCAACATCGGTAGAGAAAGTACAGAAATATATGATTGATTGATTCTGCGTTGTAATTTATTTATTTGTTTTGCCTTTTTAAATAGAAGTTTTGAACTTCTGTTTTTGAACATGGTTAAGAAACACCATATTCCTGTAAATGTGCTAACACTGTTGGAAAATATGTTTTTCTTTCTTCTTAGGTACAGTCTGAAAATAGAGCCTCCTGAGAAAATGCATCTTGCTGTAGTGGCCTGTGGTGAAAGACTGGAAGAAACTCTAACCATGCTGAAGTCAGCTATCATTTTCAGCATCAAACCTCTTCAGTTCCATATTTTTGCTGAGGACCAACTACATGATAGCTTTAAAGACAGAGTAAGTATTTTTAAGCCTTAGTCAAGGTCATAGAGTTGAATATTAATATACAGTATACTAGTTTTGTTTTATTCCTTCATTGTGCAAAAATATTCTTTCTGTAACTCTGTCCTCCTAGACTGGAGAGTATTCCTTGTAGTTATCTCCCCTAGGAGTCCAGGGGAAGGTTTGTCTGTGAACAGGAGTAGGCAACTTAAAGTCCTTTGCCACGCATAAAGATTTTAATTTACCTACTACAGTTCCAGAATATTTTGATTAACGAGATACAAGTATATTACTCTCACATATGAAAGTAGCCTCTGTAGTAGGGACTCTGTTTTTTCCTGATTTTGGCTGAGTCATTTTCAGCATGAGGCTTCAACCTCATGATCCAAGATGTGTACTCAAGTTCTAGCTGTCACACCTGTAGTCTTTCTAAATGAGGAGAGAGGAATGAGCGGAGAAGGGCAATCCCTTCCCTATCTTTAAGGATACTTTTAGGCAGAGCTGTGACATTTCTGCCAATCCAGTATTCTCTTAGTCTGAATTTAGTCAATATGGTCATGCCTAACTGTTAGGGTAGATAATATACTTTTTAATCAGGGCAGCTTTGTAACCTTAACAAGAACAAGAATTACTGTGCAAGAATTGGAGATCAGGGTCTGGGTTTGTGGCTTAGTGGTAGAGCATCATTAGGTTCAATCCTCAGCACCACAAAAAAAAATAAATAAATCAAATAAAGGTATTGTGTCCATATACAACTAAAAAAATATTTTTTAAAGAAAGGATTGGAGATCAGATACAGGGAGAACATTTTTATTTTTTGTGTTTAAAAAATTTTTTAAAATTTGTTTTAATTAGTGATACATGACAGTAGAATGCATTTTTGACACATTGTACACAAACGAAGCACAACTTCTCATTCCTCTGGCTCTACATGTATATAGGGTAATAATGTCTGTCTCTTTCTACTGCCCTTTCCATTTCTACAGCTACTCACTCCCCCTCTGCACAATCCAGAGTTCCTTCATTCTTCCCTACCCGACCCTCCAACCACACACTGGATCAGCATTCACTTATCAGAGAAAATATTTTGCCTTTGTTTTTTTGGGGGGATTGGCTTATTTTGCTTTGCATGATATTCTCTTAAGAGAACATATTTGTGATATAGTGATATTCTAATGACTATTAATTCTCTCTCATTCTCCAGCCCCACACCCACTAAATTATACTGTCAACCTTATTTGGATTTTGATGCTTGGTCTATTTTTTTAGTTCATTTTGCATGTCAAGGGAAAAATACCACTTGTGATTTCAAGTCCTTTACTTTTCTGTCTAAATCTTTGATTCCAAGAGGTGTAGAAATTTACTTAACTTGAAAATATTTCTGGCATCTATATTTTTGTTACATACTTTAGTGATCTTGATCTCTTTGGATTGTTTTATTGTTTCTAAAAAATACTGAGTAATAAATCTTGTTGTATAAGTTACTGCTACTCATTGTGGAAACACTTGAAAAGGTAATTTTTAAAAAGTAAATCATTAATTCTTTCACCTTAGATGTAGCCTCTATACCACGTTTTGAAATTTAGATTTTCTTTGATTATAAAAAGCAATCCTAAAAATGTTTGATTTTGCTTTTGATGAAAGAATATCAACTATTTGATGGGACATGCTTTTCGTATCAAAAAATAACTAAATATTATAATGTTAGAAGTTTTCTTTTTGCATTTTGCATTTTCTTTTTGCATTTTTATGCAAAAGATTTTATTTTGAAATTTGTATTGAAAGGGTCTCTAAGTTGGGAGGCAAAATAAAAAGGTTGGTCTTTTAAAATAATCAACAGAGACACCAAAGCAGAGTATTGATGCAGGTATTCACATAAACTATGTTGGAATATATTAATTTTTAAAATTCCTTAAACACAATTATAACTCAGAAAGATCATCTTTATATGGATTGTTTTTTAAAACAACCTGCTATAGAAACTAGTTAGTCTCCTGCCGTGCCATCCCCTCCTCCTCATTGTCTCTGGCTGCTCTTTGGGTACTTTGAATCAACAATTTCAAAGCCAGGCCTGATAGACTGGTGGATGTGCCTGAGGTGCCAGCTACTCAGGGGGCAGAGGCAGAAAGATCCTTTGAGCTTAGGAGTTTGAGGCCAGCCTGGGCAACAGCAAATCAAAATAAAACCCAAAAAACTAATCAAAAACAATTCTGTTAAAGCAAAAGTAATAGATAGTAAGTGCTTACCTGAGTTTGAAACAGTTCAAGGAGTATGTTCATTATAGATTTTTAGGTATATTTTTCTTTTTATAATTTTTAAAGAACTGTCATTGGATGTATAATTATTAGAATATTTTTTGTCAAGAATTCTCACGCACATTGAAACTATATATAAATGGACAAACTAGTTTTATGTTAGTCTGACTTTGGTGTAAACATTTTTATTATACATATTTTGTTAATAAGATTAGTACCTAATTTTTCTGACCTTATTTTGTTTAGGGATTCAGAGTATGTACTTATGTAACGTTAAGGGACATGAAAGCTTACAAAGCTCTTTCAACTTTCTAATATTTTTGGTTCATACGCTCATAAATTGATTGTGTCTTGGATCTGAAGGGTGAAGTCTTTCTGGCATATTACTATGGCTTTTAGGCTTTGAATAAAAACAAGGACAATGACGGAAGAATTCTTTCTTTTCAATGTATAACATAAGGTGTACATGATCTTAATTTTTAGCTCTTTTGTTTTAAACTATTGGTTTATGGTATTATGGAGAAAATTGAAAGTAAAACAAGTCTAAACTGGTTTCTTTTTAAAGAAAATATTATTTTTTATTTTTCAGCTTGACAGTTGGTCATTTCTACAAACATTTAATTACACTTTATACCCCATTACCTTTCCAAGTGAGAATGCAGCGGAGTGGAAAAAACTCTTTAAACCATGTGCTTCTCAGAGGTTATTCTTACCAGTAAGTTTTTTCTGCCACAATGTTGTTGTTGTTGTTTTAAAACTTACTTTTACACTGATTATTTATGAGGAGTTAATATATAAATCTAATTAAACAAATACACACGTGCATGTGATATTTAGAAAAAATTTATATAGAATAAGTCAAAACTGTAATAAAAATGATGTTAAAAATGAAAAATTTGGGGTCTAAGATGTAGCTTAGTGGTAGAGTGCCTAGGATATGTGAGGCCCTAGATTCCATCCCTGTTCCACACAAAAATAAATAAATTTTTAGTAATTATTGTCAAAATAATGTTTCTTATAAGTGTAACTCATTCAGTTGCTTTGAATGGTTTTTTTTGTAAAAAGGAATAGAGGTCAGATGTTAATGGAGCCAGGTCTGATGCCAGTGATGTACATTGATAGTATTAACTGTAGGTTGCAGACTGCACATACAGCTTGGGGAATTATCCTTGAACGTCTCTGTGGAAGGTACATGTAGGAGACATAGTGTCTCTCAAAAAGTGCAACATGGCCAATTTTTTTTTTCTTCTAAGACAATTCTTCACCTTCCTAAGTGCACATTTTCTTTTACTTATCAGGAGATAGTAAGCATGGAAATAAAACCAACGACTCTGGAAATGGAAGGCTGACTTCCAGTTTGGTTTTATGACTCTTGCTAGTTGATACCAAGTGGTGTAGGGGTTGATGTCACAGGCTGAGGGGGACAAATTCAGAAGATCTTAATTTGTATTGGTTTACTTCTTCATGATTGGAAATTTAGATTTGAAATAAGAATCTACCATATGTTAATGTTATTTTTTCATTGTGAAAAACATTCCTTTTCTGATCTTTTGAGGATATGCTTTTATCCTCCCAATTGTTAATTTTGAATTTTTGGCTTTGGTTTGTTTGCTTAGCTTCTTGAAAGTTGATATGAAAGTTAGCATAGTATCTTCTTTATGCTGTTTTCAAAAATTTAGGAAAAATTACTTTAAAAAATTAAAGTTAGTTAGCTTATCTCTTTGGTATATTTTCTATAATTAAATCCTCTTATGTTTTTAAATTAAATCAATACATAGTTAATGTTTCAAATATCTCTCCTTACAGTTAATCCTGAAAGAAGTTGATTCGCTACTGTATGTTGACACTGATATCCTTTTTTTACGACCAGTTGATGATATTTGGTCTTTACTAAAGAAATTCAATTCCACACAAATTGCTGCAATGGCCCCAGAACATGAGGAGCCTCGAATTGGATGGTACAATCGCTTTGCCAGGCATCCATACTATGGGAAGACTGGAGTGAACTCTGGAGTAATGCTGATGAACATGACGCGGATGAGAAGGAAGTACTTCAAGGTGAATCGCTGAGGCGGGTGCTTGGCTGATAGTTTTCTTTTGAAATTATTTGCTTTATAGTTTAGTTTCCTTTTATTAAAATCCAGACTATTCACAATTTTTCTATTTACATAGAATTATTGAAGAAAAAAGTGGCCACAGTGTGCTCTTTAATGGAGTGGGTGGAACTGGTTGATGTCACATACAAGGAAGAGCAGTGGGCACCATCACCCTGGCTCTCCCTGCAGGACACTGGAACCAGTAGTATGATGTTTTTTAGGGCAACACAGGGTCGTGGTTAAGGATATAGACTACAGCTGTTGTTCTGGCACCTTTTTTTGTTATTCAGTTATTTTGGTTACATTTTGATTATATCTCCAGGCTTAAGTTTTCTGTCTGTGAAGTAGAATGGTGGCATGACAGTACCAGTGTCCTAGGGCTTTTTGTGAGGATTAAATGAGTGAAAATGGTGGCTGACATATATAAATGTTGTATTATGCTGCTATATTGAAAGTTAAAAACATCCTTGTGTGTTTCTCATCAAATTGTGGGATCAGTAGAAGAGTCAGATTATTTAATTTCACTGATGATGTTCTCTGAATCATCACTATGTTCTGAGTAAAGTTTAGGCAGGTTAGTTTGAGTACAGTAAGTTGTAAGTCATTATAGTTTGTGGACTCTGAGGTCAAATTGGCTTTCTGTATAGCTTTGCCACCAGGGTACTTCTTAACCACTGGCCAGTCAGCTTTTGAACGTCAGTTCTCTCAGCTAAAAGCAGAGATAGTAAATGGACTTATCTGAGTTAGTTTAAAAGAAATTAATTAAAAATGTTTAGTACAGAGCATGGCACATAGTAAGCAGGTTTTCTTTTCTTCTTTGTTTTCTTTTTTGCTGTGCTTGGGGTTGAATCTGGAGCCTGGCCATGCTCTGCAGATGCTCTGCCATTGAGATGCCTCCCCAGTCTGAGGGAGCAGATTTTAAATGTTAGCTAAAAACAGTACCTTCTGAGCAAATACCCACCATTTATTCCTTTCTAACTAATTAGGACTAAATTAAACATTAAGGGATATTACGTCTTGTGAGTCTCCGTATATGTTTACATGGCTATCTATATGGGCTTATTTGTTATATGGTTTTCTCTCCTCCCTTCTTCCCTTCTACCCCTCTTTTCCTTCTTTCATTTGTCGCTATTGAACCTAGGGCCTCATGAATGCTAGGCAGGTGTTCTTCCACTGAGCTATAACCCCAGCCCTATCTCATATTTTTCTATGATTTCTGGTGGATAGAATTTACATTGTTGAATTTATTTATCCCTTGTACATGCTGGATTTAAATCTTTGCTTCATTTAGAGTTTTTCCTTCTTTCCTTTGGTATGGGTGGCTGTATGGCTTGTAGCAATCACCACCGCATGTCAGCATTTCAGTCTTAGAACTGTCTTCTTTCCACCTCACCCAGTACTATGGATTGAACCCAGGGGCACTCTGCCACTGAGCTACATCCCCAGTCCTTTTTATTTTTCATTTTGAGACAGAGGTTTTCTAAGTTGCCCAGGCTGACCTCAAACTTGTGATCCTTGTGTCTCAGTTCTCGAGTCACTGGGATTGTGCCACTGTACCCGGCCAGTCTGGGAAGTCTTGATAGTACCGATTGCCCTTACATCCTATTACTCTAGTAAGCCTCATTCTTTTAGCCTTCCAGTTTCTGAACCTTTAGAAAATCTTGATTCCATCTCAGTTTTTTTCTCCCAGAATTGAATGCATTAATGAGACTAGTGCTAGGTGACTTCTGCTCTTTCTTACCACAGAACAAACATCTGTAGGTATCCAGTTTGTTACTGTATTTTGAATTTTTAAATTTCATGGTCCATGATGTGTTACTGAGTAAAACTGGCATTATAACATGATTTTGATTTTGTAATTGTTAGACTATGCTTGGTAATATTATACCAGAAGATGGTGCTGTAAGATTATCTGCTAAGAAATAATGTACTGCTCAGTAACTGCATTTGAAATTTATAGAATTTTGAGAAATTTAGTGTTGCAAAGAACTAGAGATAGTTTATTATAATATTATTTGATTTAAAAAATTAAAATATAGCTATATAATTTTAAGTCCATTACTGTTTTTTCTTGCTTCTTAATTAGATGCTGTTCTTAAATACCTCAATTGTTTCTCCCATTTCACTTTTCCTTTTGTTTGTGGTATGTTGTAGCTAGTTGGAAATGTAGAAAAGGAGTTGAAATAATCTCTAAACTTTCAAACTTTCTTTTCTTCTGTGCATTAATGACTTAAAAAAAAAAGATGAGAGAATTGATTGCACACTAGTTCAGTAGGTCCAGTTTACTTCAGACCTACTGCTGTATGTTACAGATGACCTATTATTGGCCTGTGAAACCATGTTCAGATTTGCTTCATTTTCAAATATTGTTGTATTTATGATTCCTGGGATGATTCCATAAATTTTATGGATTTTAAATTTATTTTCCCATCTAAAGTTTTATATTTTTAGCCATACAACTGAATTATTTCCAATTACTCCCCATATTGTTACAAACAGATATGTGGATGTCATCCCATAATTCTTATCACATGGAAAGGCACAAGATTACCCCTTTAGGATAAAGATTTTATTTTAGAGTATTTATTTGCTTTGTTATCACCAAGTTCTCACTATTCATGGCTGGTTAGTTCCAACCTGATATTGTAACATATTTTTATTTTTTAAAGATTTTTCAAAAACATTTTATTAAAAAATGTTGAATTGACAAAAGTTCCTATAAGGATAGGGAACAATGATTAGTTTTATAACTCAATAACCAGTTGTATATTATATATTTAAGATGTATAACATGATGATTTAATATAAGTATAAACAATGTACTGACTACCGCAGTCAAATTAATGCATTTGTTACCACTCAGAGTTACCATTTGTGTATCTGGAGTGAAAGGACACTTAAAACTTTCTCTTCTTAAATTGCAGGTATCTGTGTTAGTATTATTAACTCTAGTCACCATACTGTACTTTAGATTTCCAGAATTTACCTATCTTATAACTGGAAGTTTGCACCTTTGACAAACATTTCCCTCACCTCCCACAGATAGTTACATATATTAAAAAGTGTAATTTAATCAGGAGACTGAGGCAGGAGGATTATAAGTTCAAGGCCAGACTCAGCAAGGCACTAAGCAACTTAGTGAGACCCTATCTCAAAATAAAATTTTTTTTTAGCGGTTGTAGCTCAGTGGTAAAGTGCTCCTGGGTTCAATCCCCTGTATCCCTTGCCCCTGCAAAAATTTAAATAGTAAAAATTCTTTTTGTTCTTTGTATCTCTTAATACTTGATAGACAATGATATCACATTAATTAGCTATTACTTTGTATTTGGGGTTATGATATTTGTAGTTTTGAATCCTTACTGGAGTATTTCTTTCCTCTCTTTTTTAAAAAAAATTAGAATTATTATTTTTTAAAAAAATAGAGAAAAAACAAATAATGTGAACTAGGCCCTTAGGAACACATTCCTTGTATGTTTACTGTACCCTGTTCCTGTCTGGCTACATATTACTTTGTAAAGTGTTTTTGTCTTCTTTACCTACTGAGGGCAGATGCATCTCTTGTACAGCTTTGTATTCAGAATATTTAGCACAGTGCATAGAATAGCACCTCAGTGGCTAGTAACTGGCAAAGAACAGTCAGATGAATGTTTTAGAAATGAAAACATAAATGAATTATTGAAAAATATTGGAAAAGAGAATATTTGGTATGAAAAGGGCAAACTTTATTTTTATGTATTTGAAAGATGTATGTGATGGAGTATTTGTGTTGATGTAGATAGCCATGTGAGCAGAGTAATACCAATGAGCATCTTGCCAAAGGGTGTGGATTAATGAATCCTGGGAAACTAATGAGTTCCCAGTTTCTAGCATTATTGGAGCATAATATGAATAGACACTTGTAAATTTTATATTTATGGGTAGGCCGACAATGATAATGAATCTATTTCCAAAAGCAGACACAATTTTAAAATGAAGCTCATTGGTCTTAATGCAGTATTCATTTTGGTCATAGATTTGCTGAAATTAGAACTAGATTTTTCTGGTTTTAGAATTTACAAAGCAAAATTATTCTTATAAACAATCAAATAATTCAATGTATGCAAAGGATAAGTGCCTACCCTGCTCTCTCTCTCAAGTTTCATGCCTTTGTGAGAAGTGACACTTATAAACTTGGTTGTATATTCAATGGACCTTTTAAAAAATGTATTTGAAACAAGTGTACATGTATATTGGTATTTATAGTCATATTAAAATTTTTTTCTTATTAAGTTGAAAACTTTCACCTTTTCATGGTCCTCCTCTTAAAATTGAGATCTAGGACTGGTGATGTAGCTCAGTGATATTGCACTTGCCTAGCATGCATGAGGTCCTGGGTTTGATCACCAGCACCACAAAAGAAAAAAATAAAAAGTAGTGATTAAGTTATAATGAAACTATTACTACTTTCTCTTTCCTGGATTTATTAGTCTTATTACTCCTACATGTAACTTCAGATCTTTTGCTATCTTCCCCTCTCCTACTGGACAGCTATTCTCATAATTAGGGTTATAAATATCACTTGGTTTTGTAGCAGAAGGAGTTTGCATTTCTCCTTGTGCCTATGTAATGGTTGCTAAAGGAAGAATCAGGAACTATCATGATGCCATTTAAAATTGGAATTCTGAGACTCTTTAATGTTTTATCAACAGAATGATATGACAACTGTACACCTAAAATGGGGAGATATACTTATGCCATTGCTTAAAAAATACAAATTAAACATCACGTGGGGTGATCAAGATCTACTGAATATTATGTTTTTTCATAATCCAGGTAATCATTTAAATTTCTTTTGTTCTTTGCATTTGTAAAAAAAAAAATCACAGAATATTGATATTGACTTATTATTGGTTGTTACTTATATTTGAGACACAGTAAAACTTTTCTTGAATATGATTTAGTTGGAGAGATTTAAATGCCACCTGTATTTTATACTATTTTAAGTCTTATTTTGTAAGAGTTATATTTTTAAACTAAATGTTTTGCAAAATGTTGATTCTGTAGAATTAGTATTTGTTTCATTTTTGTTTGTTTGTTTTAAATATTAGAAAGCCTTTTTGTTTTTCCGTGTCAATGGAATTATCGACCAGATCATTGTATATATGGAAGCAATTGCCAAGAAGCAGAAGATGAAGGAATCTTTATTCTTCACGGGAACAGAGGTGTTTACCATGATGATAAGCAGCCGGCATTTAGAGCTGTTTATGAAGCACTGAGAAATGTAAGTTTTTTTTTTTCCCCCATTTGGAAAAACATACAAACTTATTATGGAGAGTTGACAAAAAAAAATGCAAAGAATTTTCATAAATCCCTTATTTAGGTTCATCAGTTATTAACATTTTTGCCTTATTTGCTTTGTCATTGTTTTTTTCCCCTATACATTGTGTTTTTCTGAACCATTTGCCTGTTAGCCTCTCACCCCTAAAAACCTGTGTGTTTTACTAAGAATAAGTTCTCTTATTAACCATAATACCAATATCAAACTCTGAAAATTTGATTCTGGTATTTCATGTGTTTTTATATGTACTCTCTGTTGACTAGGAACAGTTTTTCACTGTCCTTTAAGATCTTGGTTTTTTTTTTTTTTTTTTTTTTTTTTTGGAGAATAGCGACCTTTTGCTGCCACTACCATCTCTCTTTTTTTAAATTAGAATTTTCTTTATTTTGCTTATCTGACGCTCCCTCTGATTAGGTTCAGGATATGCACTCCTGAACAAAGTCACCTTTGTCTGCCCCTTGTTGATGTTGATCACTCCATCAAAATGTTGTTAATTTCTCCACAGTATAATAATTTTTCCTCTTGCAAGAAGTCTGTAGGGACAGTCTCAGAAATCATGCAGATGCTCTGCTTCTTATCACAACTTCCCAGCCCCTAGATTCCCTACTAGATTTAGCATTCACTGTTAGTTCTTGCTGAGATCAGTCTTTACTATGGCAATTGCATGTTGATGATTATCCAGTTCTAGTACTCTTTCCACATATCATTTGGGATTTAGCATTCTTCTGTAAGGAAGAACCTAGCCCTCCCTTTTTGCCCTATTATTCATTTATATGTAATTGGTATGAATCTTTGGTACTTATTCCCCTTCCCCCAGTGATTTATAATATTCTTCCCTTCTGTGTTGGTGCTGAAGCTGTTTCAGATTTTGTCTGGAGAGTCATTTTTTGGCTACTTATTGTGCCATTTTGACATGTCCCAATAGTTTTTTGAGTACCTCTTTATTTTCTGTCCCAACAAAATACTCTAGGTTTATCTAATACTTTCCTTGCCCTATCTCTGAAATTAGTCATCCAACAAAGGTGCTCTTGTGCCCTTTTGTGGCTCTGGATATTAGGCTTATTTATTGCTACAAGAGTGTCTTTGCTTTGGAGCCCTTCAGTGACAGGAGGAGATGTGAACTTAGACATGTAGTCAGGTGTTCTCATTGATTCTCCACTTCTAGCCCATTCCTTCAAGCTCTTTCTTGCCTTCTTCTACCCTATATTTTATCCCCTTTTAACTCTACCATTAGAATCCTGGCTTCCTTTTTTTTAGTTGTAGATGGACACAATATCTTTATTTAGTTAATTTATTTTTATGTGGTGCTGAGGATGGAACCCAGGGCCTCACACATGCTAGGCAAGTGCTGTACCGCTGAGCCACAAACTCAGCCCCTAGAATCCTTACTTCTAACATTAATACACTTCCTTATTTGCTTAACCCCGTAATACACTTAAAGTGATTTCAGAAATGTTTCATTCTGCCATTACCTTCACTTCCCCACCCTGCAAAACCAACCTACTGAAGTGTTCTAGATTTGTTTCCAGCCCTTTTTCCTCCTCCCCTGCCCCTGAACAAGGGTAAACACTCAATACTGTGCTCAGAAGTTACCTGAAGTAGTTCTTTGTCCTTCACTTTCAATGTAATTATTTTATTTATTTGAAGGAAATTTGGGTCCATTTTTTCTTTTCAGAAAGTTTTTGGTTTTAGCTTTTATTTTCTACTCTTGTTGATACAATATTTTTGATGTATGGAATATTAATACACTTCAAAAAGTGAAAGCCACGTAAGGGTTTACTCAGATGTAACACTCCTTTCCTTGTCCCTTACCCACCAACCCTCTTCCCCCACAGTTTCCAGTGTCGTTTTCTGGTTTGTGTGCCTAGGTTTCTGTTTGTAAGAAGGGAAGATGTGTGAATGCTTGTTTTATAATTTTATAATTTTGTTTTATAATTTCATAATTTTTCTTTTCTTACATAAAGGGTAGTATGTGTATTCATTTGTTCTTTGGGTTTTATTTTTCCCCTTACTTAAAATATTTTGGAAATATCTGTACCAATCTCTATGTTAGGACATTTGGTAGATGCTAGTGTTTTGGATTATAAATAATGTAGCAGTGTGCAGTAGCCTTGCTGTGTGTGTATATGTATTTGGGAGGTGAATCTTCAAGGTAAATTCCCGGAGTGAGATTATTATACTGAAGATATTGCCTGTTTCCCCTCTGTAAGGATTGTTGGCATTCCTGCCAATAGTTCATGAGGCAGCCTATTGCCCACATCCTTATTAATAGAATGTATTATCAAGATTTAAAAAATTTGTCAGTTCAGAAACTGAATCTTGGTGGAGTTTTAATTTGCATTGGTCTTATTACAAGTGAAGTTGAATATCTTTTTATATATTTAAGAACCACTTTAATATTTTTGGGAATGAATTTTCTTGTCTTTCGTCTATTCTTCTATAGGTTTTTGAAAAATAATTTTATTAAAGTATGGAGTTCACTTATTTCACGTGTATAATTCAGTGATTTTTAGCATATGTACAGAATTATATAGCTATTTTCATAAGGGAGTTTTGATCCTCCCTTTAATTGTTAAAAGTTCTTTGTATATTATGGGTGTTAGCCTTTATCTGTGATATATTACTGTGAATATTTTCTCCCAATTTGACTTTGCTGATGACATTTCATGCTCTTCAGAGTTTGTTTAAAAATTTTTATGTAATCAAGTTTATCAGTCTTTTCCTACCTACACTTGGGAGATAGAACCAGTTATAGGAGAATTTCCCATGCACTATTTCATTTATTACCTTTACGCTTTTGTTTTGGATGAGGAATGGATACCATTTGATCCTTTTCCAAATGGCTTCCTTGTTGTCTCAATACCATTTATTTAAAAAGTTTATTTATTATCAAAGCAAAGAGTTGAGATACTGACTTTATCAATATACTGCAATTCTCTTTGTGGTTTCTGTATTTTCTGTTTTGTTGCTTTGGTCTATCCATTTGTGTGTCATACTGTTTTAGTTATTATATGTTTTAAAATCTGGTAGGACTATCCTTTCTTCATAGCCTGTCCTTTTCAGTGTCTTCCTAGCCATTATATATTTATTTTCCCATAAGTATCAACTTGTTTCACTCGATAAGAAAGCTTGTGGATAATTTTATTGGGAATATATTAGCTTCATACATTAACTCGGGGAACATTGACATTTGTTGGTTGCTGTGTGTTGGATGTGGTTCATCCCTGTCAAAACTCTTATTGAAATGTAATTTTCAGTGTAATGGTATTGAGAGGAAGTAGGGCCTTTGAAAGTAATGAAGTCATGAGCGCTTCACTCTCGTGAGGGATTAACAGTGCCCTTGTGTGTGAGATTGTTTTCTTTTGACGTACTGGACATTGAACACAGATGTGCTCTATCACAGGGCTATATCCTCAGCCACTATTATTGTTACTATTATTGAGACATCTTACTAACTTGCCAAGGCTGGCATCAAACTTGCAATGCTCCTGTCTCAGACTCCTGTGTCTCTGGAATTACAGTTCTCACCTGGCTAAGATGAGGTTATTTTTTGAGAGGGCTGTTTGTTAGAAAGCAAGCCTGGCTCCCCTGACCTTCTGCATGTGCCTGTTTACTCTTCCACTTTCCTCCCTGAGACCCTCAATAGAAGTGTAGCAAATGTTTGCACCATTTTCTTGGATTTCCAGAATAGTGAGAGGAATAAACCTCTTTTCTTTATAAATTAGCCCAATCTCAAATATTTTATTATAGGAACAGAAAACAGACTGAGACGATGTTGTTGAGACATCTTAACCAAGAACAGCAGGCTCTTTCCATTAATCTTTCAGGAATGTTTTGTAATTTTCATATTATACATTTTAACATATTTTGTTTATTCTGAAGTATGTTCATACTTTGTTTATTTGTTTACTTTATCTTTTTTGTTGCTTTTGTAATAAGGTTTATTTTAAGCATGTGCTTTATAATGACTTGGGGGAAAAAAAAACTATAATGCCCTTCTTCTTCCCTTATCCCAGATATCTGTTCTTCTGTGTGTTTTTCTTATTTTTATGGTCTCCTTTTGGGTAATTAAAGTGGATTGAGAAGGATATTATACAAGGTGTACTTTTAGATGAATACAAATATCTAGATGAAATTAAATTTTTTTTTTTTAATTTGGTGGTGCCAGGGATTGAGTCCCTTGTATGTGCTAGGCAAGTGCTTTACCACTGAGCTACATCCCCAGATCCAGACAACACATTCTTAAATACAAATGGATCACAGAAGAAATCACAGGGGAAATTAGAAAATACTTAAAATGAATGAAAATGAACCAGGTCTCTGTGAATATGCTAAAGACAAGGCGTGGGCAGATTCAGACAGCTTTGGATTTATGCTGCAACAAGGAGCTCTCCACGTCAGCTCATTCACCACTAGATAGGGAGTATGTGTGACCACTGAGCTCTCATGCAGGTGTACTGCCTGCTCTGCCAGACTGTACTTAGTCTTAGGTGTGAAGACAAAACATTAATAAATAATAGGAGTGCTGGTTTTGTTTAAGTGTCAGGGTTAGAAGAGATTATGACCCCTGTTTACAAGGTTCTCATTTGCTTGTGACTGAAAACCTCTTGTCTCCTATAGCCTCACAGGTAGCAATAAGAATAAAAACACTAACTATGATCCATTGTAACAGAGACTGTACTAGAAAAAGAAAACTTAGCAGTTTTGTCCTGAAGGGCCTGGGGAGGCCTCATTGAAGAGGAGTTATTTGAACTGGGTCCTGAGGAAGGAGTATGAGTTTGCCAGGTGAGTGGGCCAGTCTGCACTGAGAACAAGCTTCAGAGGCTATGGAAGGGTCCTGGGGAGGTCAGGATGGAGCTGTGCGGTTGGCCTGGTAGTGAAGGTAGTCAGTGGATAGGCAGCAAATGGACGAGGAGTGTGCTGTGCCATGTTGGCATGGTAGTCCACCACAATGGGGAATGGAATAGAGCTTTCTGCTGGAAACCAAACCTGGTGGTGGACAAGGTGCCAACAGCATTCAAGGCCACAATTTTCAGGTACTATTTGCTAAGTCTCTTGTCCTATAAACTTGACAGATAAAGTTGCTAAATAATCACTTATGATATGACTCTACTTGCTAAAGAATTATGAAGTGTAGTGTTGATTTTCACTTTAATTTAACAGGCTTTCTATACTTTCAGAAACTAATGTTGTATTTTAATAATGTTGTATGACAGATTGTCAGAAGATAATTAAAAATGAATAAAAACATTAATAGGGGTTTGAGATTTTTGTACAGAATAGAAAAGAAATTCATTCCTGTAAAAGCACAATTCTTTTGTCTTGAGCATTTAAAAACAATCTAGTATTAGCAAGTTAAATCTCTTCAGTTTTGTTTGGGTGTTTTCCTTTGGTTTATAAATATTTATCCTTAAAAATATGAGTAATAGTTTTAAGTTGATTAATTACTTTTGATTTTTAAAAAATAGATTTTATTTTTTAAATGATTTCGAATAGTAAATGAATGATTTTTTTGCATTTGCTTTGGGTCTGTGTTAACTACAGTTTGTATTTATCCATTTTTCAACTTAATGAAGTTAATCAGTCTTTTATGGCGCTCTTATCTTCCCTTATCTATAATTCAGTAAGAAGTGTAATTTTTTAAAGAATTGCATACAGACAAGGGTATTTATGCAAGTTTCAGACAGAAGCTTAGTCAAAGCCATGGAATGCAGTGAATAGTATGAATTATAAAGGATATGAACCAGGTTTAAAATGCAAATGCATAGCTATGTATGCCGGCAAATCAGTTTTTGTAGTCCATACATATTTGTTAAATATTAGTTTGTTGAGTGAATAAAAATTATTTAAAAATTACAAATTCAAAATGGGAACAAAACATTTTATGACTCTATGAGGTATTTTCTGCTTCATGTATTTCATTCAGAGTTATATTTCCTTGGTGTTTTTGTGTTAACTTTGATTTACTTTACACACCACTTATATTAGCATAATTATGTCTGAAAAGGAGTTTTGCACAGTACCTCCTTGTATAGGGTTGACACTCAAGGATTTTGGATTGAACTGCCAGTTTGCCATACTTTTCATGCATGTTTTATTCTGTGAAAATGCCTCATATTGCCTAATCATGATCATCATTGTCTCATGATTTATTTTCTGCTTTTCATCTATCTATCTATCTATCTATCTATCTATCTATCTATCTATCTATATTCATGATCTTCTAGAAATTTGTGTACTTCTAGAAATTTGGGTACTATGCCAATGAAAGGAGGGAATGATTAACTGCATGGGGTGAGGCTTCCAGAGGAGCTGGCATTTGACCTGAGCCCAAGGATGATGAGTACTAGGTTCAGAAGTAGAGGGAAGGATGAGTCAGGCGTAGTTTGCAGTGTGGAAAGGGCCTGCCATCCAAGTAAGGCAAACACATGTGGCTTGGGACTGGGACACATAGGTGCAGCTCATGTGACTGACAGAATGCACTGTCTTTAGGCTATATACAAGTTTGATAATTTATATCCTTCATTAAAGGTCAAATTGCTATGTCACATGGTGGGCTGAAGGAGTTCTAATTTATGCAGTTTTGTATTTTATTTCAGAAAATATTTATCAGATTTTTTTTTTCCACTGGTGAGGGAATAAAAATATTTAACCAAACATTCAGATTTAAATCCCATGAAAACGACTTAACCAAATCTCAAGTACTGTGTAGTCCTAGGAATCAGCAGTCTTACCCTAATTCTTAAATGTTTCATTTTACTGTTACAGAATAGTTAAAAAAAATCACAGTTTGGTTTTCCCATAATTATTTGCCTGTCACACAGTCATTCAGGTGTGTGTTTTGTACATGTTGGGATGTCAGTGGACAATGTTGCCTTCAACACCAGACACATTTAGGCATATCTATATATAGCACAGCACTTTTCTCAGTTTCCCATTGTTCAGTGGGGTTCATCCTTTGACAGTAGTTTTGAAGACTTAAAGCATTGTTTTGTTGGCTTATTTGGAAAAGCATTGCTGTATTGTGGTTCAGTGCTTGGACCTTGGAGTTGGACTACTGGGGCAGAATCCTGGCTTCACCTCTTACTAGGATTGTAACTAGGAAAATTCTCACTCCTTGCCTTGGTTGCTTTATTGTGAAATGGGGATATTGTTATCTATTTTATGAAGTTGTTATGAGGTTTATATTTATTAATACATATGAAACTTTTAGATTGGTATCTGGCATGTAGCAACCACTTTTTGTGCTGTTACTATTTTCATTACATTGTTCCTAGCTAAGCTTTTCCTCTTCCTTTTTTTTTTTTTTTTTTTTTTGGTGTGTGTGTGTATGTTCAAAACAATTTTAGATATTTATCTTCAGTATATGGGATTAATTTTTAAAAATCAACCTAAAAGTGATGCTCTCATGCAGTTTATGTTCACAGTCTTGTGGCTCAAGCTGTGCTGAGGTGTAGGATTTCTTGGCATCTCTTCACTGCTGAATCCCATGGCTTCCCACAGACTGACTCACTGTACTTAGGTTGGGGCTTTCATTTCTTCTTCCTCCCTCAATGTACTAGTGAAACTCAGGTGTAATCTTAGGTCACGTGGATCTCTTAGATTTCAGGTTCTGAATTTACTTTGTGAGTTTGCATTTTTCACTGTCTTCAAATTTTAATGTAAACTGTTTTATTTTCAAGACCCATCCGTCTTTCTAATTGAAAATATGCCTAATAGGAAATACTGAGTTAAAAAATACACCTAATGAAAATCCTATGATTACAACTTATTTTCTCTTAACTGCTACCATACTGTTCCCAAATATATTCATCAGGATGTTAATGTATTTAATTTTTTTTTGTAGTTGTAGGTGGACAGATGCCTTTATTTATTTTTATGTGGTGCTAAGGATCGAACCCAGTACCTCACACATGCTAGCCAAGTGCTTTGCCGCTGAGCTACAACTTCAACCCTGTTTATAGATTTTTTTAATGATGTATTTATTGTTTACTTTTTGGACTTTTTTTTATGTGAGAGTATGAATCCCTATGAAAACTGCATAACATTTAGCAATTCTCAAATGTAGTTATTGTGGGGATCTTTTGTGCAGATAGGGCTCTTTGGGAAATGCTAAACTATGTCATCATATTGCATTCCTCATTTTCATGCATCCCATCTTTCCTTTCTAATATAGCCTCAAGACTGTTACCAGAGAGATTTTTGGAAGGTGGAATGGGGTGGGATGCTGGGAGCCCAAAATTTTAACTTATTCTTCATTACATGAGTACACTGCTCATTTAACTTCTTTAGGAAAAAAATTACTCTGGAAATGAGTATTCCTTCCTAAATACTTCCCAAATCCTTTTAAAAAGGGATGCCTTTTTTAAGCAAGTCCAGCTTAAATAGTTTTTACCAGGTATCTTCAGAGCATTGCTCATCTTATATCAGTATCTCTGGGTCTTCTCTGCCTTTGGACATGTTCTTCCCTTGGCTTGGGATGCTGTTTCTGTTACCCTTCTCTGAAAAGCTTTTCCTCATTCCCCCAGGGGTTTGCCCTCACTGTCTGACTTCTCTAGTAGTTCGGTATAATTCACTGGAAATATTTGTTGAACATATACTTTCTGTGAGATATTAAATGGAAGTTATTAATATTAAACTAATTGACGAAATTGTTTGGAAAATAATTAAGTTTTTATATGTATCATTGCTTTTCTTCTTCTTTTTTTTCCCCCTCTAGTGTTCTTTTGAAGATAACAACATTCGTTCCTTATTAAAACCTTTAGAACTGGAACTACAAAAGACAGTGCATACATACTGTGGAAAAATTTACAAAATATTCATCAAGCAACTAATGAAAAGCATTCAAGATCGTTATGACAGACCACCAAAGGAAAGGTGATTCTTGGTGACTGCTAAGTTAAATGGATGCAAACAACAAAGTGGCAGAAGATAAGTGTGAAGGAATAGTCTTGAATGAAGTGTTTAGGAAGGAATTACTCATTTCCAGAGTAATTTTTTTCCTGAAGAAATGAGCAGTGTACTCATGTAATGAAGAATAAGTTAAAATTTTGGGCTCCAATGATAGACTTTTTTGATCTCTGATGTTTCATAACATTACTTGCTGTCATTCCAGTGTTGATGAAAATATTATAGTGTAGCCTGCACAGTTCTGCTGGCTCCTACTCTCAAGTGAGTAAGAATGGTAGGGGTGTATGGATGGAAAACGTACCTCATACACAGGGTGGACACTCAAGCTGTGAGTATAGCAATAATTTTATGTCAGCACTAACCTCACTTTAAACATGTGAGAAAAAAATTGTTTACAGGGACAGAAAAGGTTCTGTTTCTCAAGAAATGTGATGTAACCAATGTAACCATTGACAATCTATGTACCTTTATACATTTCATCTCCGATCTACAATATTTTTGTGACAATCGTGTTGAAAATTATTTTTAGACTATAACTAAGCTGCACAAAAAATTGAGCTGTATAAGAAAGAAGAAAAATAGTGAAAACTCTGAGGCATTATTCTGTGTGTGTGCATGTGTGTGTGGTGTGTGTGCGTGAAAGGGGGAAATAAAGTGTTTTTGTTTTGTATGTATTATTAAACTGTCTTGCCAAAACTGGGTTCTAAGGTATTTGGGGAAATTTTTTGTTTGTTTGTTTTGTTTTTTAAATCACTTTAAGTGAAAATTTTCAGCTTTACTGGGCATTCTGGAAGCAAAAAATATTATGTTGATAATAAAGTGATAACCTTAATAGTAATGCTAATCTGATGGTGGAAACTGCAATGGGCCAAAATATGTAAGCTATATACTTCCTGGATCAGTAAGTTTAGTTACAATGGAGTAGAAAAAGTGGTTCATTTAAACTTCTTCTACCTCAAAATGGCTTTGCAAGGTATTTTTGAAAAGCAAATGTATAGAGCCTTACTTAAGTAAATTAGACAACTTGGTGGATGATTTGGATTAGAATAATGTTACATCTAACTACAGAGAAAATAATTTTTATTAGGTTAATCTTGCTTTTTTGAACATCACACACTTTTTTTTTTTTTTTTTTTTAATATCAGGGATTGAACCCACAGGCACTTCACCATTGAGCTACAACCCCAGCCCTTTTTAGTTTATTTTGAGACAGTATCTTGCTGAGTTGCTCAGGGGCGTGCTAAATTGCTGAGGCTGGCTTTGACTTTGTGATCCTCCTGCCTCAGCCTCCCAAGTTGCTTGGATTATAGGTTTGCACCATCACACCTGGCCAGGACAGTTAATTTTTCAAAGCAAGCCTTGAAGTTGAGAAAAATATTACTCTTGGTGTTCTTGACTGCTATGTAGTTAATTGTAGATTCTGAATGTTAGTACATACCATGCTTGGGCACATATCTCATTTTACCAAGCGCTATGTGCTATCTTCTTTTTCTGTCTTTATATTTTAATGCTTAAATAGAGAAGGGAACTCATGAAGGAAAAATCATGCTGTTTGGCCTACACAGTGTCCTTTATGTAGATCAGGACTTTGTAGAAAGAAGTAGTCAGTACTTTGTTGTCTGCTATCTTTGTAGTTCAGTCAGATACAGATTGAGAGAGGAATCTTAAAAAGGCAGATTATTAATTGATTCTCACCCCCCCAAATAAATAAATAAAAATATAAATAAATAAATAAAGAGAACTGGATAAGCAGCCCAGTACTCTTAGAACAGATGGGTTGAGACAGCAGGAGCCCACTTCCTTGGCAGAATGCCTTGGTGGAATACCTGAACTGTGTTGAAATTGAGCTCTCTGAGAAAATGAGAATCCTAAAATTGCGAATTTTGGCTGATGTATATAAGACCCTTTCTAAGTGTCTACAAATGAGACCATTGCTTAGCTATATAAGACTCTTTGGGCAGCTTGTTAAAACTAGATATCCTGAGCTTCACCCTTTAGAGACTGATATACTCTCTAGGATGATGTCTGCTAAAGAAAATATTATAGAAGAGATTGAAAAATTACAAAAAAGTAGGGAGCACATAGTTCAATGGTACTCACCATTCCAATCTAATACTGGGCAATATTTGAATTGTTTAATTTATTTCTTTTTTCCCCCACTCTGCTGAAGTATCTTAAAATCCCAGACATCACTGTAAATGCTTTGGCAACTCCAGAGTCTTGTACCTAATAAAAGTAGCAGCAGTCCTCTGGCCTCATCTGATATCCAGTCCTTAAGCAGATTTCCCTGATGTCTCCAGTATGGCATTGTTTAGTTGGTTTGTTAGAATCAGGGTACAAAGACAAGTTACATGATTATTCTGTTTTTAACAGGCACCTCAGGTGATTTTGATGTTGACTAGTCTGGGAACCACTGGAAATTATTTGCCATCCTTAAGGTTGAAGTTAGAGTGCCACAATTCCTGGCCTAGTAGGTCAATTATAATTGTGATTTTGAAATAAGAAAAAACTATTGGGTTATTGACAAGATATGAGTCTATTAAGATTTGATTTTTCTCATTGAATGGATTCTCTCAGCCCTATGGGCTCCAGTGTGAGGATGGTTCTGTGTAGAGTGTGGTCATGGTTTAATCCAACTGGATTGTGTGCTGTGGTCTCCTTTGTATTGTGACTTATTTATACTGTCCTGTGGCCTACATTGTGGACCAGCTGGAAGGTTCTTCCTCTGGTCTATTCAGACCTGACCTAATTGAGGATTTTACCATAAATTGGGTTATGGTGAAAACTGTCTTTTTTTTTTTTTTTTAAACCTAAAGTCAATGGTATCACAGAACGTCTGTAACAGTTTTAAAGTGAATTTTCTGAATTTTATCTTTAAGGTAATTTTTTCCTTGAGAATTCTTAAGAAATGAAGTGCTCAGATCTAATAAGGTTAAATTACAGATGGATAACTTGGAGAACATAATATTTTTTCAGTATAAGAAGTCTTTCAGAAAACATAGTATATCTATGCAGTTGATATAAATTATACTATATATTCTTTGAGGCTGTGTGTTAAAAAACACACAGTTTTGACCTCAGATTTATCTCTGGGCTACAGTATCACCAAAGTGGAAAGATTAAAATGTAGCCGAACTTCATTTGTATAAAATAGTCATCTTAAATGAACTTGGGAAACCTTTAGAAATATATTTTGTGATTTATATTTTAAGAAAATAATTTTTTCCTCATGAAGAAGAGTTCATCATGCATACGGTAACCAAGTGATTTGGGGACATTTTGAGCCTGCAGTGTTATTACTGCCTACGCATTGCTGCATTGCTTTCAATCAGATGGCAGTGGTAGAGTGACAGGAAGACCAGGCTGAGAACAAGATCTGGATTCTCTTCATGGTCAGGGGCCTCAGGTATGCTGTTTAGACTTCACTATGCCTTAGGTTTTTAGGTGGAGCCAGTATAGTGTGCCCTTCAAACCTCACAAGAGAAGGTGAGACTTCGAAGAAAGAATGGATTTGAACACATCCTGCCTGGTCTGTTACACCATACCAGTGTTAGCTCTAGGTTCTGTTTGGCCCTGGTGGTCCTATCCTCAGGCTGAATGTTTTCTGGCATATATCTCCAATAAGAATTATGTAAGGAAGAGTTTTTTAGGAAGAGAAAGTAGAGAAGAAAGATGATGAGTAATCAGAAAAGAAGGAAAAGAGAGGAAGTGAGAAAGGGAGAGGAAAGAGAAGGGAATGAGAGAATGACAAAAGGCAGAGTAAAGGAAGGATGGAATGAAATGGGAAAATTGAGAAGTAGAGATGGAGAGGAATGGTGTGGAAGCCTTTTCTTTTGGAGTTGTGCCCCCACCCCCACCCCAGGTCATTGTCTGCCTTAGTCCTGCAGGTCAGGAAAGATGCTGGTTACCTGGCAGGAGGCTCAGGGCCTCGGTTTGTTGACCCTGCAGATAGATGCTCACTGATTTTTTCAGTACTAATGAATGATTCAACATTTTATCTTTTTTTTTTTTTTACTGGATCCCAGTGTATGATCTGGGACCTATGGAAACAATGTCTTCCATTTTAACTTTGCCCTTTGGATTTTGTAATACTAAATTTGGATTATGTAAGAGTAACCACTTTCACCAGGGGAGGCTGGGTGGAGGGACTGCTTTATCAGGTCTGGAGGGCAGGAATCTACCATAGTAGTTTTCCCAGATGATACTGATAGGAGCTGAGTTTGGGAATCATTGCCTCATCTTGAATGGTAGCTTCAACAGTAGATCACATTGTTTTATTCCTCAGTAGAGAGGTTTTCAATTGAACTATTATGGCTGCATTCAAGAGAACAGGAGATGGTAGAAACACTAATTAAAGAGGAAAACCTTAAGAGGATTTTTTTTTTTCCGTTGGTACCGGGGATTGAACCTAGGTCCTTATGCCTGCTAGGCAAGCACTGTAACACTGAGCTGCATCCCTAGTCTTTGCTGTCTTCTTTTTTAGACACTTATAATTTAAGTAATAAATACCATAGTTATAATGTTTCTAGAAAGACCACTGATCTGTTTTTATAAAGTAACATTTTTGATTCCTTAGAGTAAATAGGAAATAAAAGTAGGGGTGCAATATGTCAGGTATGGGGCCAGTTATCCATTTATGAAATGCAATTTCAAGTATCTTGATGTAATCATCGCCTTATTGCATTTTGATATTTAATAAGAATAGATTAATGATTTGTACTATAATAGTTATCCTTTTATACATTGCCAAAGCAACCCTTTTTTGCTTATTAAAGTATGGCTAAACTATTCTGATGTTTGTTGTTTCTTAATTCATTGAACATAAAGCTAGATTTTTAAAAACTAAGTTATATAAACTTAAGTCTAAAAGGTGGCATAAGAATCTAAAAGAAAAAGCTATGAGTGAATAGGATGTTATTCAAAATCTAGCAATTACAGGATTATGAAAAATAATAGGATAGCATAAAGAATAGCATATTAGCCTGGGCAATTTAAAATCTGTAATCAATTTGATCTGCAAATCAGTGTCTGACTTTGAAAAATTTGTTTTATCACCTCATCTCTAATAATTCCAAATGTCTAGGGGAATATTTCTTTAGAATTTTCTATAAACTTAGTTTTCAAACAAAAGAGAGCTTTTGCAAAGATTTTCTCTTATCTCTCTAATACTGTGAACACTAGTTGGAAGGTCTGTGCTCAGGCATCTTAATATCAAACTTAAGAACTGATGTGCAACCTTTGATTAGGTTTAGTTTTATGTACAATTAGAATATGTGAGCATATACACCCATATAATACATCATAGCAACCCCTTTTAAAAACTGGTGAAAAGAATGCAACAGTGAATATTCTGTTAAAAAGTAAATTGATTTTGACTATGATGGACCGTAGCTGTTTTCAGTAGTCATATAAAATCTCTTCAGGGAATATTGGAATGTTATTTTTGTTGTGCAAAAATAATCCAGGGCTTGTAGTATTTTTGAAGAATATGCCATCCACTCAAAATTTATCAGAACTGACATGTGTCCACATGCGTTGTCACCAGTATTTGAGAGTTGGACCAGTGGTTTTTGAGGGTGCTGTAACAGATTTGAGAAGGAGACAGAAACTGTACCAGTTCCTGAAATGAAAAACTGAAAAAGGTTGAAAATATCTTAATATTTTGAGTAACAGTTCTAAAGCGGCAGGAAGGCATC